TGCTGCGGTCCTTTCCACACAGAAGTCCTAGACACTCTAGGTGTTCAGCAAATATTTTCTGAGCGACCTTCTTGTTCATTGTGAAGGTCATGGACCAGCAACATCCGGAGGTGCCCCAGACTGCGAAAGTCAGAATCTGCATTTTACCCTGGTGCCCAGGCACTGCTGGGCACATTCTGCTCTATCAGATACCACCCTTCCTTTCTGACGAAGCCCTGTTGGCAGGAAACACTGAGACGGTCTGATGCACCTGGAGAATTATTTAAGCCCAGGGAGTGGAGAAAAAGTGGCTCATTACGTGGCTGCATCTCTGTTTCTTTCTGTCTGACATTGGGCACCTTACTGTGAAGGTAAAGGGAGCAGTAAGTGGGGCCCGTGAGAGGAAGTGTAGCAACTGGCAGCGCCCGGCCCCCAGGTGCTGGGGGAGGGGCCGCTGACCGCCCTGGGCTCGTGCTCAGTGATGAGGGGGGCAAGCAGAGATGGGGTCCCACGGGGGTGGGAGTCTGCAAACGCGATCTGACATGGGAACTCTGGATCCAGAAGGGCTGCATGTCTGGTCAGCAACATGTCTGGGAGAGAAATGGGGATGGGCCACCAGGGCAGTGGGCAGTGGTTCTCTCCGAAGGGAAACTGTTTCCATAAAGGGACGTGAAATACTGAACTTTGGGTCCCGACAGGCGGGAAAGGATAACAGATTCAGAATTGGACCTCCATTAATAAAAGGGAAAATACACTGAGTAAGTGTTCTGAAGACAAGGTTTTCAGCTTGACATGTAGAAAGAGATGGGCTACGGGATTATAAAGGACAATGAAAGAAGGCATAAAGAGGGGATGTGTTTCTCAACATAACAACTGAACAAACACAAAAAAACCCACATCAGCAACCAAATTACAAATGATCCTCCAAGGCGCAGTCTGTGGCCCCGAGAAGGAAGTGTCCACAGGATCAGCTCTCACTGGATCAGTTGCCATCCTGATGGCCTCTGAGGGCACTACATCCTCTGTGGTGCTCTGATCCATGAACAGATGTGGATTCTTGGCGAAGTCCTCAGCACCCTCCCGGGGCCCAGGCTCGCACACATATAACTGCTTGGCAAGAGGGAAACAGACACTACAAAGACTGCAAATGTCAGGCACGAGAGGCAGGGCACAAGCCAGGCCTTAGCATGTCTCCCACAGCAGGTACACATTTTCCCTGCTTCCTCTAGAATCTTCTTTTGTCCTGAGTAAGAGCTGCTATAGGGATACCATGAGTTCTCAAGGCTCAGGACAACACACAGAGATTTCATTCTCCCTTCCACTCACACAGGTCTAGAGGGTGCTCGGACCACCACTTTGTCTGGGCAGCTGGGAATGGGAGCGACATTCCCTTGGGCAAAGCCCCACCTCTCCATGTGGAGTGAGCGGACCCTGACCGCCTATTCAGACTTACAATCTCAGAATACAGCAGACAGAACAAAACTCATATCGTTTCTGGGAAGACAAGACCCAGCCACAGAAAAAAGACAGAGAATGGAAAACCGTAGCCAAAGGAGACAATGCCTTGGCCGAGGTCTGAATGGCAGGTGGCCATGGAGCAAAGGGTCCATGATGTCCTTGTGCACCCCTGGGTAAGGCCAGAAGCATGCTGGGAAAGCTGCAATCCCACCTTCCTGGAAAACAGGGCCACGTCCTGGGGCACCTCAGGAGTCTGGAAACAGTCCCTCAGCAGCCTGGGAAGGCAGGGGAGGCTCGAGCTGTGAGCAGGGTCCCTCCCTCCTCCAGGACAGCTCCTGGGAGCAGCTGACGACAGCAAGGGCTGATGGTGCTGACTGGGCGTGCTCCCGGGAGAGAGGAGGCTCCTGAGCATGATGGATTGCTTGCACTGTGCTGCAATCCTCTCCTGCCTGGAGGGAAATGACTAAGCACAGGTACAAGAATTTGAACTGCCAAACTGCGTTTGCTTGGTGACTCTTGTTGTTTGTGGGAAATCAGCTCGGGGAGGAGCCTCTGTTCTCCTGGGCAGTTACCCCTGGCACATACTGCAGACCCCTTACTCACGGCTGGGTCTGAGGGGCTTGGGATCACTGTAGCTCCCGACCCTGGCATTCAAAATCTTGACTGCCGGTCCTCCCCTAACTTAGACCTCTCCAAACTTGCTTCCCACCTCTCCACAGTTCCAACCACCTCTGCAAGCCAGACTGGCTTCCTTACTCTCTTCTATACAGTGCAGGCTTCACCCTGCACCCGCTTCAAGAAGAGCCTGCCCCTTCCCCTAGGGACCAGACAACCTCTCAGGGTGAGGGGCAGCCTGTTTTATCTGTGGTTAGAAAAGAAAACCGGCAAAACATGGCCCACTCCAGTTTGCTCTGTGAAGCTGGGAGAGGGGATTGAACGAGAGACACACACTAGGGACCAGAGGGGGTTTGATCTTCCCTGGAGAAAGGCACACTTCCAGCAATGAGGCTGCAGCCCGGACCTGGGGTAGAGCGGAGGACAGGGCCTCCCTTGGGTGGAGATGGGTGAGCTGGAGATGAGAGCTGCCCAAGGGCAGGAATAAAGTGGACCCATCAGCTGGAAGGAGAGGACTGTTCTCCAGGTCTGGGTGCTGGGACGGGACTCGCTGGAAGGCAGCGTGAGCCCTGCTATGCATATCAGAGCACCTGGACGACCTGCCTACAATCTGAGGGCCTGCTGGGATGAAGGCTGGGGAGAGAGACTTAGAGGCTTCTAGAGGTGCTAAGCTGGAGGGAAGAGGGGCACGATGCAGGATCCCGTGTCAGCTTCTGCCACCAAAGGCTGGCTCACTAGGCAGGGAAGCCCCCAGGAAGTAGTTGATTCTGATGTTACACATGCTTAAACAGCTTGGTCTGACACGGTGAATGGATACAGGGAGTTGCTGTTTCCCTTTTTCTTCCTTCCACAGAAAGGTGCATTTTTCACCCTTCATTCATCCATCCAGCACCTGCCGACCACCTGCATGGTACCCGGCCCTGTGCTGGGCACTGGGGACACAGCGAACGGTCACGACCGTTGCCTCTGGGAGCTCACAGTTGGGCGACAAATAGCACTGTGCCCCAGAGGGCTAGGTGCCCCACACATGCTGCACACACAGGACTCAACGTTATTAATGTGATTTTCTTTGCATACATTTAACACTGAAGCGAATACAAACTCTGTTAGGAAATTGCATTTAAATATAGGTACAAAAATGTATTCCCAAATCTGTAGGTGTCTCATTTATCAAAGACACAAAACATTGGGATCTTTCTCCAGACATAGCTTTGTGTTTTACTTTCCCCACTGAAAATCCCATTAAGAGCATGTGCCCTGCTTAGAAGGCTTTTATATACTTTCCAACCTTTCTTTTCAAAAGCTAGACTTTCACTGCCTCAGTTCTTGTAAGTTAAAATAAAATAGGCTGAGCACTTTTTACTCTAATAGCTTTTCATTCATGCATTCATTCATTCAATGGCTATTTCTTGAGCACCTATCACTGGGGTCAGATATGTGCTAAGTCAGAGAAATTTAGAGGTGAACAAGAGAGACAGAGTCCTGCCCTCAGGTTCCTTGGGGTTTAGTGAATTATACCAACCAGAGCCCAGGCTCCCCGAGGTTGGTGACACATAGTTTCCCACTCTGGCTTGCTCCTTTTTCTCTGTCTCTTGCTTGATCCTGAACAGGTGACACAAAGACGGCTCTGTACTTTGTTCTTTAGGTCTTATCTGTCTTACCTCTGACTCCTCTACTGGGCGTTTCATCTTCCCTACTTTGTTCAAAGGCAAAAGTCTCTGGCTCTCTCCAGAGGTGGGTTTAATTACCGCCTCCCATTTTTCTAGTTGAAAGATTATGGGCGATAAAGTTGTGTGGGGAGAGGAGCCCTTGGAGAGCTGCCTTCTGAGGGGAGTGACCCCAGGTTGGTCCTCGGGTGTCCTTGCTGGGCGCCCCTGGGCACCCTGAATGCTTGACTCACAGGCAGCCATTCCAAGTCTGACCGTGACCTCTGTGGTATCCTGGCCTCAGTCTGTCCCACAGAAATACAGATGCTTAACATGGCTAATGACACCCTTTCTAGGGCAATTTAAGAAGGAAATATACAGAGAGAAAGAGAAACAGGTAGACTATAACAGGGGCCTGAAGCTTCAAGACACAAGAAGAGAAGACAGTAGACAAAGCCACAACATGGAGACTCGGCGAAGAGAGTCTAAGTTTCGAGTGGGTGACAGCCGGTGAGCTGCAGCAACACAGGAAGCCGAAACTGCAGTGGCCGAGCCACCAAAATGGGGGCAGAGATACCGCCAGCAGCCCGGCCCGGCCACTGGAATACTGGCGCCACCACGGGAGCTACTGGTATTCCATAAACCATCCAGTTCTCTGCGAGATCCCTCTATGCAACTGGCCTTGTGCTCCTCATTCCCCTTAGGTCAGTGCTACACCTGTGTCACCTCGGGAGAACCTGAACCCCTGCTCTGTCTTTGCACACCAAAATATCTACACCACGGCAAAAATCCACCTCCGCCTCAGGCTGATGCTTCTCCATTCCCAGAACAAACATTTGAGAACCTCTTTCATCCAAAGGCTGGATTCTTCCCGTACACCTTCCGAGCCAGCCCAAAAAACAGGACAACCTGCCCCAGGAGTGATGATGCAAACTTGAGGCATACCAGCTAGACTCGTTGCCTTAGATAAAGTGAGTAGGCTTGCTGGTGCTTTCTCCTAAGCACTGTGCAATAATTACTATTGATTCCAAAGTGTCATGAGATTTTAGAAAGGGCGCACTGGACAAACGGGGCACGTGATAGTAGAGGAGTTGTCTTGGACTTTCTCAGCTGTAAAATGAGGATGATATGTCACCTCGGAGTTGTAAGAATCAAAAAGCTACTCTATTTCTTTCCGCAGCATGACCACACTTAAAAAATTCCTCTAGCTATAGGTTGTGATGATCTTTAGGGCAGGTCAGCCCCGTCTATACACCAAGCAAAGCTGCCTTCACTCAACAGGATTGACAAGAGATGGCCCACCTTGCCAGCCAGGCTTGCAAACTGGCTTCACATCCACCTGCACCAGCGTGTCCTGCGCGGCGGGCTTCTGTCCACAGTCATAGGCGGTCACCAGGATCTCATACTGGCGTTGCTTGTCATAGCTCAGCTTCTCGGTATTTCTAATGTTGCCTGAGGACACAGGGATATTCAAAATTGTTTCAGATCAAATCAACCACACTGCAGTTTCTATTTTTTATTTAGATTCAGTTTAGTTACCATATACCGTATTATTCGTTTTAGAGGTAGAGTTTAGTGCAGCTCTTTAAAATCCCTTCTCTACTCCTCTAACCTTCGCCGGAATGGAAGGCCCCCTTTCCTTATCTCCTCGTACAAACAAGGGCGAATAGGGGGCATGGCTTTCTCATGCGGCCTGCTTGTGCCTTGGCGACAGATTCCCAGGAACCACTGGCTGGAGCCACCCGGCTGTGAGACAGGACTGCTAGGGGATTCCAGGCACACAGCTGGAACCCAACTGGTGTGTTTGTTCGTCATGGGTTGTCAGAAAACTCCCTCCTAAAGTGTGCCCATGTGGTCGTGTCCCCGATGATGTAGGGCGTCAAGGCTCATCTGCCATGAAACCTCTGGGAAAAAGATGGGATTCAGAAATGTCCTGACACATATTTTTCAACATCTGGGCTTGTCGCCAGGAATGTTCACTGCCTCTTCTTACATTATTTTGCTACCAAATAGGAAGTAAAATCAATAAGGAAACGTGCGACCTCTCTTCTGAAAGCTACACAGAGTAACAGACTCCTTGCCCTGGTGGCAAAGACATTTTTCTTCTCCCAGAGAGACCAAACCACTTCTCTGGGCCATTTGTGAGCTTTTGTTCCTGTGGGTTGATGCTATAATTCGGAAATAAATATTTGATCATTAATGAGCAAAATTCAGATTGGACTACTTTTGCTGAAATACAGTTTTGGTTCTTTGGTTCACATGAGTAAAGGCCCCGTGTGCATTTCATTACTTCTCAGTTTTTGATTCCAAGAGAGTGAAATCTTCCTTTGTGGGGAATAATTTCATTCTTACTTTTCTTTTGATAGTGAAGCTGACAGCAGTTTACAACTCCAGTGTTATTATCCTTCAGCAGAAGTGAAATTAAGAAAATGGAAACTTAAAAACAAACGAACCAACATGCTAATAAGCAAACATGGAATGGCTGACTCAGGTATATTTTTACAGTTCATCAAAACTAAGGGAAAAGTCCCTGATAAGCTTTCTTCCATTTCGACAGTTGTCTACGGCTTGTGTGAACTGAGGCAACAGGGACGAAGGCAAGAAAGCCTGGGGAATTACTGAAGTCACGTCATGTTCTAAAGATCGGGAGAGTTGACGCACTGGTCACCCAACACTAGTGAAACGGTCCTCGGTGCCAAGGCCACGGGCAGGGCTCCTCTCGTGGGAACGAGGCCTTTGAAGGCGGAGAGGAGATCTCCTACAAAGCTGCCCAAGACTTAGGAGCATTTATTAGGAGCACTTATTCACTGTCTGCTCCAGACTGTTTCTAAAAATGTAATCGCAGCCACCGATTTGAAGTAAAATTTCATTTAACAAAGCCAGTCAAAAATCTCCAAATGAAAATGGGTTTGATGTACTTTTGGCCTCATGCCTGGTGTTCAGAATCACTCTTGCTTCCCTCCCTTCCCCGCCACGAGCTCGGGTCTCAGCTCAGGCCCCCTCCCAGGGCTGGAGCAGCTCAGTGCTGGGTTGGGGACATTCCCTGTGGGTTCTGTTAGCAAACTAGTGTGTGGTTATAGTCCTCACAGGGGAGGAATTCTTGCAGGTTGAAGGGCTGCAATAGAACCCCGTGAAGTAGGTTTCAGCAACATCAAATTGAATTTTGAACAAAAAGTTTTAACTTTCCCTTTCTTTAAAGTTAAATGGCTTTCAAAAGATCCGCCTTTCGAAAGAGGAAGGCTCAGGGCTTACCAGCCATGTGACATCAAGCAGACCAAGCACTACTGACCGGGGTAGAAAAATAAACACACAGGCCGCAATCCCTGGCCCTGTGTGTGGCAGTGGCGCACTCTAGCAAGTCCTAGTGAAACTGTCCCAGAAACGAATGTGCTTTCTCTGCCACCACCTGCTTCATGCATGTGACAATGGGTTTTGCAGCTTGGAATTTGAAGCCTTGGGTCAAATATACCTGTCTAACGTTGTGACCGATGATTGTGCCGGGCAGAGTCCTATTCGGACAAGCACACATTTAAAAATGTTTGGAAGCTCAAAAAGCCACCCGTTTGCTTCTGTTACAACTGCATTATTTTCCCCACTTTTGAAAGATTTCTCCTAGTAGTGTCTCCTTAGGAGACCTGAGGCCACGGTTAGCCCCGGTGAGTAGGGACTCCTGGGCCTATTTCTCTGGTCCAGATGAACCTGTGGAAGCTAGCTCTCAAAGAACAATCAGTACCTACCTTGCATATTAGTGAGGGTATTTTATTTTATTATTTTATTTTTTTAAAGGTTTTATTTATTTATTTTGACAGAGAAAGAGAGAGAGCACAAGCAGGGCGAGCAGCAGAGGGAGAGGGAGAAGCAGGGAGCTTGACGTGGGGCTCGGTCCTGATCATGACCTGAACTGAAGGCAGATGCTTAGCTGACTGAGCCACCCAGGTGCCCCATTAGTGAGGGTATTTTAAAACTGAGGCAGCGTAGAAGGACAATGAGACCGGCATGCTGACTGACCTGCACTCTCCTTCCAGTGGGATTTAAATTGGAATAACCCCTTTGGAAGGTTATATAGGCTAGTCACTTTGCAATTGCTCATGCCTTTTGGGCACGCAATTCCACATCTAAGAAACCGATTCCAGGAGAATGACAAAAATTGCAGATACAGGTGCAAATATATTCGTCTAAGCATTATTTCTTACAGTGAAAAATAATAAACTGGATGTCTGCTAGTATGGGAAGAGCTAAGCAAAGGAGTCTCTGCATCAGATGGGATGATTTTAGCACTAAAAGTGGTAATTCTGAAGTATTCTTAAGGGTGGAAAAAAATCCATATAATTGAATATTAAGCGAAAAAGGGAGGATAGAGAAAAACAAGGAAAGTGTGGCCTTACTTTTGTTAAAAAACTTCACAGAAAAAGTAGTGGTGGACTGTCAATAATGGCTAACTTTGGTGGGATTACAGGTGATTTATTTCCTTCTTCCCACTTTTCTACGCTTTCCAAATTTCCTACAAAGGGCATGCGTTACTTTTCTATTCCGATGGAAAGGAAATGTTTTCATTTACTTTAAGCAGACTCTAGGGTGCACTTTGCCCAGAGGTGACAGAGTCCCATGACTCACCAGGGCAGCCTGCTGCCAAAGAGAAGCTGCCTGGGGACCACACAGTTGCTCCCTTTGGTCATCCCCGATGGGGCCGAGGGCTTGGTTTGTGTGCCTTGTGTGCCAGTGAGAGCCTTGCTGGCAGAGCGCCCGACCTCTCGCACAGGCATGGTACTTAGCGTGGTATTTCATCCCCATTTTACTGACGAGGATCTGAGGCAAGGGTTAAGTAACTTGTCAAAGATTTCTCCCTTTCCCTCTCTCTCTCTCTCTCTCTCTCTCTCTCACACACACACACACACACACACACACACACAAATAATGGATGCAGGATTCAGATGCAAGTTTGTAGTTTTGAAATTAAAAACCACAGCCATGCATTCCCGTCAAACATCATGAGGAGTTCGGGGACAATATCACTGGTGGAAAGGCATAGGGGCCAACGCTCAGGGGATCTGGGCTCTAGTCCCAACTCTGCCACCAGGGTGACAGGTGCTGTTAGGCAAGTTCTTTATACTTTAGGACTCAATTTTTTCCATGCATTCAATGAGAATAAGGATCTAGGCCCTATTGATCTCATAGAGACCAGCCAAGTACCAGGAGATGGGGGCCGGAAAGCCATCTGAAGTGAATCCAGAACTTCCTGAGAAGGAATGGATGTCACCAACTCAGTTACCTGCTCCTAATTTCAGCCTGGAAATCCATGCGGAGTGAATAACCTTCATGTCCCAATCACTCAGGTAAATATCTGATGATCGCGGCACCATGAATGGAGTGTTGTCTCTCTGCCTGGTACCCTGTGAACATCATCCCCGGGCACCGCTTCCCTGAGACCTCACAACCCCACAAGGAGGCAGGGGTGTTTCCTGACATGATTTCACAGGGGAGGAATTTAAGCAGAGGGAAGCTGATGACCTCTGATAGGAAGAGGTTGAGTTTTGGTTTAAGATAGGTCAGGCGGAATCCACGTAATGTCTTCTATCCTCTCTCCTGACCTGCTTCATGTCTTTCCCCCCCAAACAAAGAACCTGGCAGGTTGGAGGGGCCAGCAGCCACCTCCCTGCAGTCATGGGGCTTCATTGAGGGAACCCCAAACTCAGCAGTACTTTCTCTGATGTGCAGGCAAAGAACTTCTTCAAGGAGCCCAGAAGGTCGCTGGGAGAAGTGATGGATCAGGGCCAACTGGGAAGCTCATTAGAATGCGAGCAGCCGTTTCTGTGTCTGCCCCCAGGTCCTGCCTTCATTACTTGGAGAACTGCTTTTGTAAACCTCGCTGTCGGGGGGCCCACACTCCCTGGGAGTGCCCACTCTCCTCTTCATCTTATATTGTAAACCAGTGTTGGAGGCAGAGGCTTGGCAAAGGACCATTACTCACTTTTAATGAGACAGCTAGGGAAATAAATTGGCATATGTTAGCAAAATGGCTCATCAAGGTGAGTAATTATCTTCATGACTGGGGCAGTTTACTCTCAGATGAAAGGATTTGCATCTCATCTCTCATTGGGCTGTGACTCTCCGGAAGTAAGGGAGGAGGTCAAGAGGAGCTTGACCACTCATCACAGAGATCAGCACTTGTCTCCTCTTGCTCTTCACCAACGATTCATCACTCCCCAAATTCCACAGCTTTTGTGGATGGGGGCCACACAGTTGATCACAGGGGAACAGAAAAGACAAACCAGTTGTTTTGTGTTTTAAAGAGTGGTGTGTGCACGTGTGTGCGAGTGTGTGTGCGTGTGTGTGCGTGTGTGTGTATTTGATGTGTGTGAGACATGTGTCTGTGTGGTGGGGACAAGCTGGCCACATAACAGGGCCTGTAGGAAAAGCTATCAGGAAGCAGTTTTGATAGGTTCTACTAATTGAAATTACCTACCTCTTCGTCCTGAACCAATCTTTAAAGTCCAGTATTTTCTCCTGTATGCTCCTGCACACTCATGCACTGATCCTGTGTTCCACACAGTGAGCACCTAGCAATGTCCAGGTTTGCAATCGCCGGTTTCCACATGTTTTATCATTTTACAAGGAAACTGTCTTATTACTATTTTGTCTGTTTTATGAATGTTGCTTTCATCATCCAAGGCACATCATAAACCACGGGAGGCCAGGGATGAGGGTGTCTCCTTGGCTTCCATCCCCTTCCATCCTGAGAACCTGCCGCAGTTCTCAGGATGCAGAAGACCGGTTCACAGGATAAGTTTCTCCTGGGTCTTGACATCAAGGAGCACTGGAAGCGCTGATGACGTGCAAGCAGGTGACTGATGGTCTACTTCTCTCTAGGTGTTGGCTACCCGGAGGCCCCAAGCGAATCCTCTGCCTCACCCTGGCTCATGGCGGGCTTTATGCATCACCCTCACCCTCGATGCCACCTAACTTTCTGTTTGTTATTTTGACTTTCTTCCCACTGTATGGTAAGCTCCATGTGGGCAGGCCCATGTCTGTTTTGAGTTCCACTCTGCCTCCATTCCCAGTTCCCAGCACCACGCCAGGACTCAGGCCATATTTACAGAGTAGATGAACTTCAGGTTTTGCAACTTTTGCATCTTTGTGCCAGTACTATACGATCCTATTTGAAGCAAAGCAGGGGTGCCTTATTTCACTCATGCTATTCAATAATATACTTGGCAAGTCATTATCATTTGATTAACATGGAGTTATTGAAAACTGCATTTAAAGTGGGCTGAGTCGACTGGGCCTCTGGCTGGACTGTTTACACTATAAGTTTTTTTTATTAATGGTGATGGGGAAATACACAAGTGGCTTTATAGGACTGTTTTCAGTTCAGGAAGTTCAGTTTGGGATTGGGGGGTATGGTGGGAGGCTTCATTCATTCCTCATTCTCACTACGGTACAAATTCCCAAAGGACATTGGCAAGCCCATTAAGATTCCTAAACGAATCTAAGCTCAGAAGGTGTTTCCAAAAATCTCCACTTTCTCTTTTAGCATTTTTTTAGCATTTTTTTTTTTTTTTTTTTGTCTGAGAGCAGGAAGCAGATGACTGGGCTTAGGGGTGGTGTCACAATTGGTGATATAGGAAAGGGACTCAGATATGGCCGAGTTGATGGCATGGCAATTGGAAAATTCTACCAGAAAACCTGTCTTCAGTATTCAGATGTGTGGCATTACAAGTTCTACAGATAGTACGCACTGAGTAGGTTTCTGAGGTGTTTTGGGGGGATTTCAGACCTGGCTGTGCTGCTAGTAATACGAGGCCATCCCCTCTAGTGCGGGACTGAGTGCCGGGTTACAGAGCCCAGGTCACGGATGGCGAGGGAGTCATCACCTGCCACGGACGTTCAGAGCCCCCCTCTGGCCTTCTGAGAGGGGGTGGTGGAGGTGTTTCCCCGCCCCCCACTGGGGGCCTCTCAGGACACTCACCATTTTTGTCAATGGCAAAGGGCACGTCAGTTGTGACGATTTCATAGTTGCAAATCTGGCTGTACTGGGGGGAGCAGTCCTCGTCGACGGCCTCCACCTGCAGGATGCTGTCGTAGATCTTCCCCTCTGTCACGACCGCCCTGTAGGCTGGCTCTTTGAAGGTGGGAGCAAACTCATTGACGTCCTTCACCTGGATGTGGACCACGGCCCTGGGACCACACACGGGAAGGAAGAAGTGGCGGTAAAAGGAGGATGATGCTGTCCTCCCACACCTCCCATGGGCACTGACTCCGGTCCCGGCGCCACGATTGCACAGAAACCACAGCCAGTCGGGATGGCTGTTGTCTAAGCGCTCCGTCCATCCTCCCACCAGAGAGCCCGCCACCTGTCCCTTCCCTGGTCCTGGGATGAACCCGCCCCTTCTCTGGCCTTCCCTGCTACCCAGCTTTGGGCACCGATTCCCTGGAGATCACCTCCCCTTTCCCTTATTCACTCCTCCTCTGTTCATTCACTCTTCCTTTCAGTAAGAATTTAACCACTCTGACTCCGTGTGAGGCTCAGAGCCAAACTCCACAAGGGAGAGAGTTCCAACCCAAACTAAAAAGTGCTGGGACAGAGACAAGCGTGTGGCATGGCAGAAACCCAGAGAAAGGTCCCAGCCAGGTCTGCAAGGATGGGCCGGCTCAGGGAAGGCTTTTCGGAGGAAGTGACACCTGAGTGCAGGGAAGTGGCAGGCAGCTGAGCAGGCTGGAGCACCGTGGTGTGACCACCGGGTATACACACCTGAGGAGCAGTGTGGGCAGGGGTGGGAGGGGTGCAGGGAGCCCTGCCGGGCCACTCACTTGTGCGACTTCTTCCAGGCCGTCTCCCGGGGCCCCACGCCACAGTCGTAGGCCTGGATGATGAACGTGTACTCCTTCTGCAGCTCGCAGTCGATGGGGCTCTTGGCACGCAGCCGGCCCTCTCCTGACGTCTTGTTGAGCACCACGGCCTCGAAGGGCAGCTCCTGGCCGTGGATCTTGAAGGCACAAATTTCCCCTGCAGAAGGATGGAAGACAGTGAATGGGGATCCTGAGAATTGCCAGACTGAAGACTGAGTTTCTCTTGGACCAGATTTGCAAACCCAAAACCTCCAGGCCATTTCCTGCACACAAAGAATTGTCAAACTAGAAGAAGAGGCCTCCGGAGACCCAGCCCAACATGCTCATTTCAAGGATGGTAAAATTGAAGTCTTTCACACATAGAAATGTCACCCATCCAGTATATCCAGCAGGGAAAAATGGGGAGTCATGGTGCTGGGGCAGCAGGGGGGCGGGGGTGGGGTGGGGAGGGCGGCTGGCTGATTGTCCTAGTTTGCTGCTTTTCCTAGCAGCTTTCCCGCTTGCCCTCTGCCCAGTGTGAGAAGAAGGATTTTTGCCCACAGCCTAAAGATAAATGACTGCAGAGGAAAAAGGAAAAGGCCAAAGCTTTCACAGTGTTTTGCCCTCTGAACCAGCAGCAAGAGCATTGCTGGGGAACTTATTAAGAATACAGACCCCCAGGGCCCACCAGTCCTCCTGAATCAGAATCTGCATGGTTTTTTTTTTAACCAGGCCCCTGGTGAGGTGATTTGTTTGCTCACTAAATGTGAGCAGCACTGCTCTAATTTGTCCTCCTGGCTTAAACGCCCCCCACGTTGCTGCAGCCAGCTCCCCCGCCCTCTCTCCACCCACCCCTTCCCTGTGGGGAGAGGGGCACCACTCAGCTGCAATTTTCTCTCCTAACAGTGGGGGTGAGTCTATGCGAGTTCCAGAATCCCCGTAGAGCCTGAAAAGCTAACTTCTTAAAGAGCTGAACATGTTGTGAAATTAATGCACTTCTCCCCCTCAGCTGGGTTAATGTGTATTATAACTATTTCTCTGCACTAAAATTATAACACCGTGAAAACATCTTTTTCTTGATTGATGGATATTTATTTCTTGAATCCTGACTGCAAGGAAGCTCTGTAGCAAGCGCCTTGGGAATGACTGAAAAAACTTGAGACACGTTCTCTTCCTGTCTTGTTGGGGTGACCATGTCACCCACTGATGGTGCGGGCGGTGGGGTGTGTGTGGAGCATCACGTGCCACAGGCAGCAAAGAGCTCAGCTCTAGGCTACTGGGGGGTAAAAAACAGACTTGGAGGCCAGAGGCCCGGAGTCAAATCCTGGGTTTGCCACGTACTTGCTGTTGTGGTCAAATTAGATTGACCTTGGGTCTCAGTTGTGTCACCTATAAAATGGCCCAGGACATGGTGTAGGGGGAGGGTGTCTACCCTGTGATGCCCCAACCCTGGTCTGACATTGTTCCCACCACACTGCTGGGACCAGGGTGAGGGGCCTAGTGTGCACAATTCAAGGGGGTCCTCACTCTGAGGGCAACCAAGTGTCTTCTTGCCTCTAGTCCAGGCGTGGCCAGCTGTTTCAAAGAGGAACAGTCTCCTGACACCGTGGGGAGAAGGGGTAACATGATTGCACCCCTGCTCCGCACCAGGCACCGAACTCCGTATCTCCACCCAGGTGACCTTATTCAATCTTCATTGCAAACCTGGAGGCAGGGGTGTTATCCCAATTTGTAAAATTATAAAGAAAAAGGAGGAGGAGGAGGAGGTAGAGGAGGAAGGGGGGGAAGAGAATCTGAATCAGAGAGGTTATCACCTGCTCCAGGTCACAGAGCTGAAGTCGGTGGAAGCCCCAGGTATGGCTAACTCCTGAACTGTGCCCCTTCTACTCCATGGCAACAGCACCCTCTGTAAGCAGCCCCATAACCTCAAGGGGGCTGCACTGGGATCGCTTCCAGTAGCATTCTATATTCCCATTCAAGTCCCACTCTGGAGAGAAATCCCCCATTTTACATACAGGAAGCATGCCCTGATCTCTTACTAACAATGTTTTCTGAGATGGTCAATCAATACCCATCTTACCTCTAGGCTCTTATTTTTTATTATTTCATCGATCCTCAATTTCATTATGGGCACTCCATTTTCACTACAGCTCCTTCTGGCCATTTCTCAGATGTAGGGGCAGAATAATGGACAAGACAGACAGGTTGCAGACCAGGCCTAACAAGAGGGACGGATCCCATTCCGCCACTGTTGCTCAGGATCAGTGGTGTCGCTGTCCTGCTCTCCGACAAGGCTAGCTCTGCAGCCCCTCGGGGCGGAACAGCAGGTTTGGTCTGGTTCTCCTGTTTAATTTCTGCTCTGAGTTGGCTGGGGCTGAATGAATGAACTTCTGAAGTACCTGCCTCGTGATTCTATTCCCAAGATCAAGGCCAATATGGCAATATGATCAACCAATGTGCCCAACCTGGTTCTGGGGCAGTCTCTGGAGTGCCCAACCACCGCATGATTAGAGGACCAATCAGGCCATTTTTCTTTGAAGAGTCGAGTTAAACCGAAAACAAATGAGGGTAATTTTCTGTTGGAAATATTTGATCACCACTAAAGTGGTTCTCAAGACTCAGAAATCCTTAACAAGAAGGAAGGAGAGGACGGAGGAAAAGGAGACACAGGGGAGGGAGAGACACAGGAAGCCTCAGGGCCACACGTTTCATCTAAGTCCAGCTCAGTTCCGTTCAAAAAGACCAGAACTTTCTGAGAGCCAAGTAAGTGCCAGGCACCGTGCTGGGCCCGGAGACACAGAGGGAAGGACTTGGATCCCTTAAGAAGCAAGGACAGCCTATCGTCAAGCACTCATTACCTAGAAGAGACAGCAAGTAGACAAGGGCCACAGGATGCTCACGTAGTCTCACCAGCTTGGACTGAGAGAGGATTTAGCCTCTTGGGAACAAACACGAGAGAACTCAGGCCACCCTCATTTATCCACCTCTTTATCTGACACTTGTGCTCCAGTTGCAAAAACAGTCATCCATTTTTTTCATTCATTCGTTCACTGCATGGATATTTATTAGGGACCATGTGTCCAGCCCTGGTGCCACACTGAGGAGCAAAACCAGACCTAGTCCCGGCCTATATGCTGCTGGCAGTTCAGTGGGAGGACAGTGAGCGATCTGATCCTCACGGTCCTAAATGAAGAAGGGTGGCCATGATGCGTGATTGAAGGAGAGCTCCACGGGGCCGAGGAAGCGCTGACCTGTCGGCCAGGCAGGGAGGCCTACATAAGGATGTGACAGCTGAGCTAACAGATCACAGGAGGAAGAGGAACATGCCCAGGCCAGGAGGGAGGCAAGTGAGCTTCAGGCAGAGGAGCAGATCCCTAGGGCCCTTCGCCCAGGGGATCTGCAGGGCCCGTGGGGCAGGAGCACAGACCATGGGCAGGGCCAGCTTCATGGGCATGTGACCCAAGAGCCACAGAGTGCTCTGTGCTTAAGAGGATCCTGAGCTGGGGTTAAATCTCTGTTGTTACCATCTTGAAATTCTTTTTTTTTTTTTTTTTAAAGATTTTGTTTATTTATTTGAGAGACAGAGAGACAGAGAACATGAGAGAGAGCGAGCACAAGCAGGGGGGAGAGTCAGAGGCAGGGAGAAGCAGGCTTCCCGCTGAGCAGGGAGCCCAATGCGGGACTCGATCCCAGGACCCCAAGATCATGACCTGAGCTGAAGGCAGACGCTTAAATGACTTGAGCCATGCAGGCGCCCCCCATCTTGAAATTCTTAATAATTTTTTGTTTGAACTTGTGTTTCGCTCATGAATTCTGATGGGACAATGCAGCATGTCCGTGAGCAGAAGAGATAGATTCGTTGTTCTTGCTGTTCCGTTTACATATAGTGCTCAGGCTGCCCAGTGAGCACAGGATCCCAGAGTGCTCATGGTGTGTGGGAGGGTCAGTGGACTGAGAGCGAGAAGTTAAGCGTGTGATGTCTATGACTGAGGAAGCAGGGAGCTGACCACCCTGAGACGTTCCCTTTCTTTTGAAAGTTTGAACCACAATTGTTTTGAATGCAGAAGGAAGGCAGGGGTGTTTTAGACACATGACCAAGCAAAATAAAAACAGTTGAGTTCCATTTGTGTTTGTGTGGCATTTACACTGCTCTGGTGAAGAATGAAATACATATGCATACACGAGCTATGAAATGTAAATTCTGTAATTTTGGGAGACTCTGCACAGCAGTTAACTGCTCTTATATTTGCATTTAAAACTGGCATTGCATAGTACAAAGATGAATGGTAAAATTCATGCTCATAATTTAACATTTTAATTTGTCTTTACCTAGAATGACATCAAATAGCAAATTAAGAATACCACAAGTTAAGAGAGGATCTGCGGAAGAAAGGTCCCAGAATGGCATGCTGAGGAGGAAGGCACCGAACTGCAGTTCCCAGCATCAGTATGTGACTCACTGGGCTGTATCCACCTTTTGTGAGGTCTGCCACTAGAATTTGTTATTATTGATAAAGGACTGCAGTGTGTGTGGGGGTGTGTGTGTGGGGGGTGTGTGTGTGGGGGGGGGTGATGTGCTTAAAGTAGAAGTTTGTAATGATCACGGTAAGTGGTGGTTTCCATATAAAAATATCACTTCAAAAATCTGGCTCTCTGATACGCTTTCTTGGGTAGGAGGGCAGCACACAGACGGGCATGCATACTGGGCCAGCAATGGGCTCTGCGGGGAGGTGAGGGCAGTAGCACCAGGCTGCCAGGCCTCTGGTTGTGAGCCGCACTGGCCGTGGTCTCAGGAGGCTGAACTCGGTCTCCCCCAGATGCCCCCTTGAAAGGCCAGACCAGAAGAGGGGCTCGTGCAGTATCGGGGTGGGGCATGATGGCTCCCCACCTTGGCACCCCTGTCTATCTCACGATTACCTTCTCTTCCACAGACATGCACCTCCCAACACCCCCCAAACACTGGCATAGCTGTCTCTTAAGTCCTTCCAAAAGATTCTGGGGGAAATGAATGAAACTGATGGGTGAATGAAATAGATTTTTAGAATGTACTTGGTGCCTAACTTTGAATACCCTTGAACAATAGGTTGTGTTGATTCCATTTTTCAGATGAGGAAACTGAGTCTCAGATTAAGTGGTTCATCCAAAGTCACTTTGATAGTAAGGAGTGGATCAAGGACG